CAGGGGTTTGGTCCGAGGAGGTGGGCGCCGCGCGGCCGTAGCCGCCCGCCGTCGCGCGTCCGAGGAACGCAACCGCCAGGGCCTCCTCCTGCTCCTGATCCTCGGAAAGCGCGACAGGGGGCCCGCCGTCTGGCGCGGCGGCGGAGGCGGCGGCGGCACCCAGGGGCGGCGAGGCCGGCGTCTGGGAAGCCCCGGCGGCGCCTGCAGATGTGGGCGGGGAGGGGGTGAGCGTGGGCCCGCTGCGGGGGCGGCAAGCCTGGTGGAAAGAAGGATGATGCCAGCCCTTGGCCTGACGTGGAAGCCGAAGAGAGCGGCTCGCGGCAGTGGCCTCGCTGGCAGGTGCGAGACCCAACTCATTGCATCCGACTGTGGCTGTCCGCTGAAAAGCTCCCTCATTCAGCCCGCCCACCCCACAGCAGCCAAATAGTCGCCCCGCGCTGCTTCTCGACGGCACACGTGATCGCAGAGCACACACCCGATGGCTCTCCAGCGCCGCCCGCCTCGGCGCCCCCTCCGCCCCCCGCCGGCGCTGGTGTCGGCGCCCCAAACGACAGCGAAGCGGACCCCCCTCCGCCCAGCAGGCTCCCGGCCCCGCCCCCGCCCTCGCCGGGCGAGGGCGGCCCGAGTGAGGGGGAGGGCATGCCAAGCGAAGAGGACGGCCCTGCGAGGCTGGCCAGGCGCTGGCTGGACCAGAGGCCCTGGGACTGGCTGCTAGCAGCAGCCGCTGAGGCGCGGCGCATGCGGGCCGCTTGGTGCACCTCCTGGGTGTGCGGAAGTGGGTGGTTGGGGTTGGGTCAGGGCTGGGAGATGGTGGGGGGATGCAATGAAAAGTCGGGGCCAGCAACCAAGCATGATGAGATGGACGTTGCGAACACAGCTTTTTGGTTATCTAATGGCGGTGAGATGTGCCCAAAAGAATCTTTGGATGGAAGTGCTCGGGACGGCAGCGTGCTGTGCCGTGCCGTGCGGTGCCGCGCGACGCAGCAGGGCAGACCCCCCACTTTCCCCTCAAATTGACGGCGGTAACCCACCCGGTCCCCGGCCCAGCCCCGCCTGGGCGCCGCACCTGCAGCGCCGCGCGGGCCCGCTCCAGCCGCGCCCTGGCGGCGCCCCTGGCGGCCTCCCCCGCATAGGCTGGCGCCACGTCAAAGTCTGTGGGCAGGGCGGGGTCGACCAGCCCGGCCCAGAGCCTGGCAGGAGACCTGGTTGAGGGGCACACGTGTGTCGTGTGTGTGTGGGGGGGGGGCTTGTGAGTGTGGATGGAGGATATACGTGTGGACATGAGTGTGCACGGGCGATAGTGGGCGCATGTTTGTGCATGTGCAGGCGTGTGTGCATGTGGGTGAGTTGATGACGTCAGCACGGCAGCGTCGGGCAGAGAAGCCATGTGTGCAGGGAGTGTCGCCTGGGCCGTAACAGCAGGGACAAATGGGCAGGCTTGAGTCAGTCCTGCGGCCCGTGGGCCACTCTAATGCTGACGTCAGGGGAGTTAGTCCCAAACCCAATTCAGGATAGGGTGGGAGACCCACCTGTCGTCCTTCGAGTCTATTGCCACTGCGTAGAATTTAGGTGTGGCCTGGGTGCAGCGCACCAGGGTGGCCACGCAGCTGAACGCGGCGCAGCGCACACGGCGTGCGGCGGCCTGGGAGAGGGGGCGGGGTTGCGAGCGCATGGGGATGCGTGCATGTGTGCGTGCTTGTCAAGGCCCACATGCATGTGGGAGCGGGGTGCGTTGTATGAGTGCAGAGCAGTATGCCAGGTGATGACGAGTGTACAGGGGGCTGCAGGCCTGAGAGGGCCCACGGCGAGGCAGAGCGGAAGTGCAACGCTCCTTGATGCTGAGAGATAAAAAGTGCTGGACGCCCTCACCAACGCAAGTCATAGCGCAGGATTGTGAATCCCCCGCCCGCGTCAGCAGGCGCGCAGGTGAGCGTGTGCGGGTGCTTCGACTTTTACACGCACGCCTGCGGCTGTCAGCCCCGCTTGCATCCCTGATCCGCTCGGCCCCACCAACCAAAATGCTCAAGGCACACACCCGACCACATCAGCTGGTCCCAAAAAACACAACATATATACGTGGTGCACGCTGTCATAAGCACGCGGCGATTCCGCACCTCGCAGACGGCGTTCTGCGCCGCCAGCCCCCTCGCGTCCCGCGTGGCCTGCGCCATGACGTCCGCGTTCTTCCTGGGCAGCTGCCCGGCAGCTGCCTCCAGGGCGGCGTTGAGCTCCTGGCGGGACAGGGTTCGGTACATTACCTCCAGCAGCCTGACGGGGAGTTTGAGGGGCGGGGGGGTTGCAGAATGGGGTGGTGGTGATGGTGATGGAAGTTCACAAGGCGGAATGAGGGGATCAAAACTTTGGTTTAGCTGGGGTATAAAAAGGGCGAAGTGATCTGAGGTCGGGGCTGGGTTGAAAACAACCATCGTGCAGGCGGGCCGTTTATGGCGTGTGGTTTCAAAGCATTAGTCGGGAGGGGGAGCACATTGCCGAGGAAGGGTTTTTGTGCGAAATCTGGCCGGGGCATCGCAGGTGGGGACAGTGATTGCCGTACAGAGCTGCGAGTATGGGTGCAGGGACCAGGGCGCTTGGGGGACAGGGCGTTGGACGTCGCGGCAGCCGCGATGGGGCTGTTTTGGGGTTCCGCGCCGCGTTGGAGCCGGGCGGCTGATGGTTGGGCGACCTGACTAACCAAGCCCAGCCACCCAGGCTCCAATCGTGGTGCCGCCCGCCGTCGTTGCTAAAACAGCCGTCCTCGCGACGAACCTCCCAAGCCTCGGGCATCAATAATTTGCCATTTCACAGTTTGACGCCAGTGCCAGCCGCCCGATGCAAACATGACATGCCCTCGAAAGACACCAAAAAATCCCCAAAAGTCAAAAGTGACACGTTTGACCCTGAATGCACCAGCATCATCGCACCTGTAGGCCGCCCACTTGGTGCAGAGCGCGCCCCGCTCCGCCGCCGCCGCCACCGCGGCGCCCTCCTGCGCCCCTGCCTTGGCTAGGCGCGCGAGCGACGGCAGGCGCGCGGCGAACCAGGCGGCGCGCTGCGGGGGCGGCGCCAGCTCCAGCAGCGGCGCAGCCAGGGCGCCAAGCAGCGCGGCCCTGACCTCCTCCTGCCAATGGAGGGAATCCCACAGGATTATGCATGGAGGGCGGGGCGGGGGAGAGGCTTGAGGGGGTGAGAAAAAGTGTCGAAAAGAGTGAGTGTTGTGACGGGGTGGGACCGGGAGAGGGGCCACAGGTGCTGGGGAGAAGGTTGGGTGGCCGGGGCGTTGGGTGAGGGTTCACAGCAGGTGGGAGTGGATGCATGTACGCATGTCACCTTTTGCAAGCTGGTATGCGTGCCTGTACTGAGTGAGTCGGGCCCGTTGCGGCACGCCGGGGGGTTCCAGCAACCCGTGATGTGCCGACTAGGGACCTAGATGGGTCTGCTGCAAGTCTAGGCCGGTCAGTGATAGCATTCTCAACACACGCGCGCGCGCACACACCTCTGAGCGCCGCTTGCCCGCTGAACAAGCCCGGCACAACAGGCCGGCACACCCGGCCGGCAACAAGGCGGCACGCAGGCCAAGGCGGCCGTTCTTGCGCCCAACCTCCCAGCAACACGTGGCACCGCCGGACGTGACGTGCATTTATCCGCCATGCGGACCACCACGTCAGGTCCGGCGGCGCTCTCCGCGGCGGCACCGTTCATGGCTCATCTCGTCTCGAATCACATCACATCACTCGAACCTCTCAAACCCCAAAGACCATCCCACTAGCTCCCCTTCAAACGAATACCATGTCACTGCCATAAGGCTGGGCACCCCACCTGGACAGGCCTTTCAAAAAGGTGCTCCCAGCAGAAGCCCAGCAGCCGCCACCCAAGCCCTTGCTGACCGCCGCCGCCGCCCCCCTCCGGTTCCCCTCCTGCGCCGCCGCCCCCGCCGTCGCCGCTGCCCCCGGCCGCGGGCGCCGCCCCGGCCGCCACGCCGGGCTGCTGCTGCGGCGCCTGGCCGCCCAGCGTATGAGGGTATGCGTCCTGTCTGCCCACCCCCTGAGTTTCACCACCAAGGCTAGACGTGCCCGCCGCGGCCCCCGAAAGCGTCGCCGCCACCGCGGCGCGGCGCTCAAACTCCGCCCGCTCGCGCCGCCACGCCGACGCCGCCAGCAAAGCCAGCCGCGCCTCTATCAGATGCCCAAACGCGTGGCCCACGCCGCCGCCGCCGCCGCCGCCGCCGCTGCTGGGCCGCCTGCTCTCGGATGTGGGGGCGCCCCCGCTGCCGCCCTGAGATGCCGCCAGCATGCCGCGGCCCAGCTTCAAAAATTCTTGCAGCAGCAACTCCAGCAGCAGCAGACAGCAGCCGCCCGCCTCCTCCGCCCGCGCGGCCGCCGCCGTACCCACGCCCGCGCCGCCGCCGAGCCCAAAAACGGGCCGACGCTGCAGAGACGCGGGCGCGGCTGCGGCTGCGCGGGCGGCCGCGGATGATGAAAAGTCGGCGGCGGCGCGCGCGGCGTCGACGGCGGCGGAGAGCAGCGCTGCGAGCTGCCTGCTGTAGCGCACGGCAGCCGGACAGGTCCTGGGAGGGGGATTATCAAGGCGGAGAAAGGGCATTTGGGGGGGCAGGGGAGGCGCCGATGGTTTTTGAGGGTGCTTAGAGGTGTTGGGAGCGGTGGTGGTTAGGATGGGTTGAGGGGTTGGGGGATTCGAGGGAAGAGTGGGAGCGGGTAAGGCTGTGGGACCGTTGGGCAGAAACTCAGGGTTTGCGGAGGCTTTGTCCTGCCAGGTGGGCGGGAGGCAGGGGGATGCCTGGCTGCAGCAGACGGACTCTTCTCAGCAGAACGCCCCTCTCAATGTGGGTTTGCACGGCCGCGCAGGGCGCTTTGTCGTGACACTGCGGGCGCGTGCTAGGCAAGAGCGCGGCCCGTCGCTCCCCGGCTGTTGACCTTGGGTCCGCCTATTCGGTCTTGCAGCGCCCTCTTGCGCAACAGGTGCGGCGGCTCATGCCTTGAGCCGCTAGCACGGCCCTTTGGCAGCGACCGCTCGGGCACCCGGCAGCGTCACAACCTGAGCGCAAAGCAGGACCCGCTCTGGCTGCTGCCGGACAGGCACTCAAGGGCAGCAGCCGGAAGGAGGCCCGGAAAGCTCAGCGGCGAGGGCTCCACTGTCCTCGCAGTCGACTCTGTCTCAGCGGGAACACACACCGCCGAGCTCTGCTGGGGTCGAAACCGCGGCGCCGCATCTGCCAAATCCACGCCGCACACCACACACCGCACCCGCACGCGCCCTGCTTACGATGTAAAAACGGCACCCATCAATCACCCTGCATGGACTGAAATCCCCAACCAAACCCCTGCCAAATTCAGGCCCAGGCTGGAAAGCCAATCACCGCCGTCAAATAAATCGAACCCGCGCTCCGGGATCAAACACCCTCCCGCTTGATTATCCTGGGTTTGCAAGGGCAAGCCCAGTTTGTCCGCTCCGCCCGCCGCACCTGTCGCCCCCGCCGTCGCTGCCCCAGCTCGCCACGACCTCCCCCAGAGCCCCCTCCACGCCGCTGGACGCCAGGGCCGCGGGCGGCACGGCGCACACGACGGCGCCCAGGAGCTGTGGGGGAAGGGGGTGGGGT